CCTCGGCAGAGATCTATCTATCTAGTGCTGCGAAAGGAGATCACACCAAAAATCCAGTAATGAACTTGCTTTTTCATGAGGCCCTATGTGGGGAACATCTTTCCATGTCATTAAATATTCTGTATGTTTGGTTATATCTTGCAACATGAACCGGGTTTAGTAGTTTTCATCTGAATATAAAAGCAATTCACACTTAAAAATTTCATCTCCTTTGCTCAGGCCGTTGCTTTCCTGGGGCTGTTGAGGAAATACTGTGGGTCGATCAGAAGAAGGCATGCTAGATTTTTTTTCTTCCTTCTGAAAAATGAGGACATTGCTAATGTTCTGTTAACTCCTAGGAGCTATGACTACCTGCTTTGGGGAGCTTGATGACACTCTTGTGCAAAGATGCTCCCTCTCCCTTACATCCTCAGGTCAATTCAGAAGAGGCCCAGGTTCTTGCCCCCCTTCTGTTTCCTCCCCACTGCTGCCATATGGGAAGTGATACCAGTTATCTTCCCACTGGGGAACCTGCCTCCCCAGGAGCTATTATACAAAATGCAAACCTCAAAATCACAACTCTTAGGATAAAAGAGTGAGCCCGACTTCCCCGTCAATGAGGAGACCCCTGGGATCTACCCTGCCTTCTAGTACCACTGCTGTCTTTGCTCCGTTCGTGGCCTTTTGGTGCTCCAGGGCCAACGAGGTTTCTGGGCCATTGGTGGTGATGCCAGCCCCGGGCTCGGTCCAGCTCTGAGCATGGCAGCCACTGTGCTAGAGGGAGGATATCTCCACTCTTTGTGCTGCAAGGCCAGCTCCAGGTGCCTCTCACTTAGTATCCAGGCCCCAATGCTCCTGGTCCTATACCTCCTACAACAGCTATTTCTACTGGGACTTCAGCCAGGGGAACCAGATCAGAAATGCGTTCAGGAACCCAGGTCTTGCCAAGCAGAACCACTGTTTATTCCATTTTCCTCTTATGTGGATCCACAGCCACACACCTGGCATCGTCACCTCCCTTTTCAACACTGTATGTATTAAAGAGCTCCTTTATACCCCTTTCTGGTCAATAGGACACTGGGGCAGTGATGGAAGGATTCAGACCCTCAAAACAGTGAGCCCCCCAGGCAGCTTCACTACGTTGACCCTAGATAGCATTGCTGGCTTTCTGCTTTCAAAACAATAGGAAATAGTAACATCGAAAGGGAGACCAGACCCCCCACCAAGAGGCCATGGGAGAAAGAGGACATTTTATTCGTGATGGAGGAGGAATAATTTCCCTTCCTCACCTCTCATTCTCTAACCCAAACATAAGCCAGGGAAACATTCAATGTGTCTTTTGGTAAAAAAATAAAATCCAAGCTAGGTTTTAAGTGGGTCGCCCTGCTAAACAGCAAAATTAATTTTCAATGGATCATTCCCTCTGTCTTTAAATGAACAATTATTGTTTCTAGAGAAACAGCGTGGCACCATGAAAAACCCCTGGGGTTGGAGTCATGAAACCCAAGTTGTTCTACCCCTCCCTCTTACCACCTTGGACTCTGAGTCAAGTATTAGACTCCCTGAAGCCCTTCTGTCTCTGCCTAAGTTTGGACTTGACAGTGGAACCTTAATACCCAACGTCTGTTAACCAAGAGTCCGTGCATCCTTGGACAGTGTCGAACCGTTCACCATCAACATTTGCCAAGGCAGCTTATTTTCCTGTGCATCTTGATTTTATGATTTCCAGAGGAAAAAAAACAAAAACCCTGAAAATCCAAATACTTTCTCAATATGTTGGAATCATTAAAGTATCCTAGCAAGGTATCATAGTTGATTTACTATAATTTATTACCCTTCCTGAAATTCAGTTTCCTCAACTCCTATGATACCTAACATCAGTCCTATAGGCCGGACACTAGTCTAAACGTTTAGGTATACTAACTCATCATAAGTTCACAGCTGCAACTCTATAAGGTAGATCCTATTATTATGATCATCCTTACAGGTGAGGAAACTGAGCCAAAAGCTTTTAAGTGATTTTCCCAAGGTCACACAGCTCTTAAGTGGCAGAACCAGGACTTGAACCCAGACAGCCTGGCTCCAGTGTTCACACTGGACGTCATGCCACCTCTAGCTCTGAGATGATGGAATGGTGAATCAGATTCACCTCCCAGGATTGCTGAAAGGACTAAATGTACATAAGACACTGTGCCTGAACAAATATTGCTACGTTATTATTTTCTAAATAAATCTGATCAAGCATTCTGTTACTGGTTGAAAACTATCAAAACTTCATGACAACATAGAGAAACCCAGCTATCATATAGTACCTAATGAATTAAAGCAAAATACAGTTCTGGTTGTGCCTATGTACAAATTACATTCACATTGTATAAGTGCATCAGTCAGTTATTGCTGCATAACAAACAACAAGCACTTAGTCCTCATATGTCTGCTAGTTACAGACATGTTTTCAGATCTGTTTTCAGACTGGGCTTGCCTGGGTGACTGCTGTGGTCCAGCTGGGTTTTTGCCCCTGAAGTAGGTGGAACTCAGGTCTGCTCCACACAAGTCTGTCCTGGGGCCCAGGCTGAAGGAGCTTTATCCATGGCAACGACAGTGGTCAAGAGGGCAAGTCTAGCGGCACAAGTATACCGTAAGCCTCTGCTCACATGATCACATCCCATTGTCGAAGCAGATCAGGGACTTCTCTGGAAGTCCAGTGGTTAAGACTCCACGCTGCCACTGGAGGGAGCAGGAGTTTGGTCTCTATTTAGGGGACTAAGATCTCACATGGCACAGCCAAAACAAAAGCAAAGTAAATCACACGACTGAGCAAAATAAGGGGATAAGAAAGTACACTTCACACCACATGAGACCAAAGTTAAGTCACAGAGCCAAGTCCAACACCACCTGCGGAGGAAAGCATACTTCTCCCCGTGGAAGTAGAGGTGAGCGGAGACATGCTCTTGAATAATAATCTACTATAAGAAGGACCAGATATAAATAGGAAAAAAAAAAAAAAAAAACTGAGAAGCATGAAAATTTGCTGACATTGAGGGTGAGTATTTGTGTCTTCCTTTCTTCTCAAAATAACACTTACTATTATATTTTCTTTGAGAATGAAAGGAAAAAAACAAAACAAAAGGAAGCCTTAAGAATCAGTCCTTAAAAAATAAGCCGGGGATTAGCAGGTATACACAACTACATATAAAATAGATAAAACAACAAGGACCTACTGTATAGCACAGGACACTATATTCAATATCTTGTAATAACTGAATTAGAAAAGAATAATCTATAGTAAAGAAAAGAATAACCTTTCAGTAAAAAATCTGAAAAAGAATATAATATAATGTAACATATGCATACAACTGAATCACTTTGCTATACACCTGAACATTGTGAATCAACCACATTTCAATTTTTTAACTTAAAAATAAATAAACATATACAAATGTTTTTAAAAAGGAATAATTTAAAAAGAAAGATTGACACTGAAAAATGTGAATGTGTTAGTCACTCAGTCGTGTCCGACTCTTTGCAACCCCATGGACTGTAGCCTGCCAGGCTCCCCTGTCCACGAAATTCTCCAGGCAAGAACACTGGAGTGGGTTGCCATTTCCTTCTCTAGGGGATTTTTCTGACCCAGGGATCAAATCTGCTTGCAGGCAGATTCTAGACCGTCTGAGCCACCAAGGAAACCCAAGAGCGACGCTAAGCCACCTTCGCTCACTCATTCAGCAGACACTTGCCGAGCCCCCCGAGGCACAGGTAAATCTAGCCCCTGCGCTCAAGCAGGTCACAGCCCAGCGACTGAGCAATCACGATCATGACGGCGATGATGATGACGACGGGGACGATGACCCTGGCGACAGCCGGGAGTTAGTGGCCCATATCCAGGTGCTGTGTAAGCCATTTACACGCTGCAATCTGTAATTCTATGACAAAGCTCCATAAAGGCGGTTCTGTTACAATCCTATCCCATAGAAAAGAACCAGACTCAGCCCACACGTGGCAGAACTGGAGTTCCCACCAGGCAGTCCAGCTTTAGACCCCGCACTCTTTAGCACTTTACTCCTCATACACTCGGACCCCTAACCTGTCCCACCCCTGTATCTTCACAACAACCTCTCTCCATATACCTGAATTAAAAGATTACTTACACAACATGCCCTTCTCTGGGAGGTTTCGCAAACACAAAGCCTGTGCATTTAACCAACTAGATCCCATAGACAGGTATGGGCAAAGAGTGCCAGCCTTCAATAAAGAAACTGACTTTTTGATCAGCTTGGAGAAGACGTGAAGAAAGGGATACACAAGTGTGTTCATTTCCTAGGTTGATGGTGGCTGAGAGTCCCTGAGGGTGACAGCTGGCTTTTCTTTGCCTCATACAGAAGCAGTGAGCAGTAGGCCTTGCACACAGCATCAAGGGAAACATGCAAGGCAAAAGGGAACATTTCCAGATCAGAAGGACCTTTTTTTAGAGACTCCCAAGCAGAGGGAAGATCCCTTTTCCAGAGGCAGAGTGGTGAAGCGGGTCAAGCAGGGAGCAAGGTACAGATGGATGAGACGGCCTCACAGGATGCCCTAGAATTCACCAATTCTTCCATCAGGTTCTTTTTTCTACTTCCCTTTCTGTAGATTTTTTTTTTTTTAATGTGAACCATTTTTAAAGTCTTTATCAGGCTTGTTACAGTATTGCTTTTGCTTTATATTGCAGTTTTTTGGCTGGTAGGCATGTGAGGCCTTAGCTCCTCAACCGGGGATCGAATCAGCGCCCCCTGCATTGGAAGGCAGTCTGAACCACTGGCCCACCAGGGAAGTCCCCTACCTCCCTTTCTCGAGGCTCTTTTCAGAATGTGCCAGGCAGCAGAGGTTTAGTCAGATACCAAAGCCCAATTCCATCTCGCTGGTGGCAACCCACTCAGTATTCTTGCCTGGAGAATCCCATGGACAGAGGAGCCTGGCCGGCTACAGTCCACGGGGTCACAAGGAGTTGGACACGACTGAGCGACTACCTACCTGGATTTCCTCACCTTCCCAGGCCACCCCGAGTCTGCTCTTGTGCATCCTTCCTCTGGGAGGTCAGTGAAGGGGAAACTAACCTCCCACTCACCCCACCGGAAGACCACAGAACACGGGGGCCCTGTAAACACTGGCACAGAGCTCAGCTCTTTCAGCCACAGTCACAGTACCTCACACTCAGTAGCTAACACCGAGCGTTCCAGTAAAAAACAACAGCCAACACGAGGCCATTCGCTGAATTAAGTAGGAAAGAACTTAACTGTCTGTCCGTGTCCGATCCAGCCCATCACGAATGACCTGACGAAAGGGCTGAATGAAAGCTGCAGTGGCCCTGCCAGAGAAACCCCACACGGAGGCTGCAGGCAGCTTGCTTTTCTTGGAAATAACGGCCAGTCACCTTAAGTACAGTAACAGAAAAATCAGAGTCCGATTCTCCCATTAAAACTGGGTCACGCCGCACCAGAGTGGGCCTGGGTTAGTAGTTATCTCCCAGCCAGCTCACCTGATTAACACGCTGTGGGGTTTTCACCAATGGGTTTCCAGATTCATCAGCCCTCACCTGACCAACAGGAAGGAAATTAAGAGATTAAAGAGGTACTATTTTTAATAGGGTTTTACAATGCATTCCTTCCAGCCAGCTTCTGCCGCTGTCCCAGCCCTCGTACTGTCTTCACGTAAAGATGTCAGGAAATGCGCTGATATCTGTAGAGCCTCTCCCACCGCACTCCGCTGGTTCTGCTGTTCCGTGATGTGGGACCCAGGACAATCCTCCAAAGCTGGGCAAGGAAGCCTGGGGAGGGGGCTGCCCCCGCCCTGACTGTCCTTCCCCTCCCCCTCAAAAGACTGTGGACAGTGGCGGTTTCCAGTGGCACCTGGCTTCACTGAAGTCACAGCACAGACTGTGAACACATCCTCTCATCCCCTGGCCTCTTTCTTTTATTGCTTCCTTGATTCTTTCTTGATAATCTTATCATACCTCCTGTCACGATGTGACCTTAAAATAAATGCTTGCAAAGACATCACTTTTATTTCATTTATTTATGTTTTTATTGAAGTATAGTTGGCTTACACTGTTGTGTTAGTTTCAGGTAAATAGCAAACTGACTCATTATATACATACAGATATATATATATATATATATATATATACACACACACACAGACACACACATTCTTTTTCAGATTCTTTCCATTATAAGTTATTACAAAATACTGAATATAGTTTCCTGTGCTATGCAGTAAGTACCTTGTTGATGACCTATTTTATACATAGTATGTGTATCTATTGAATCCCTAAATGCCTAATTTAGGCACCCCTGCCTTTCCTCTTTGGTAACCATAAGTTTGCTTTTTATACCTGTGAGTCTATTTCTGTTTTACAAATATATTCATTTGCATCATTTTTTTAAATTAGATTCCACCTATGAGTGATATCATGTGACATTTGTCTCTCTCTCTGTCTGACTTACTTCACTTAGTAAAATAATCTCTAGGTCCATTCATATTTCTGCAAATGGCATGATTTTATTCTTGATGGCTGAGTCACATTTTATAGTATATACACATACCATATCTTCTTTATCCATTCATCTGTTAATGGACATTTGGCTTGCTTCCTTGTCTCGGCTGTTGTTAAGTAGTGCTGCTTTGATCATGAAGGGTGTGTGTATCATTTCAAATTATAGTTTTCTCCAGAGATATGCCCCACAGTGAGATCACTGGAGCATATGGCAATTCTACTTTTCGTTTTCTGAGGAATTTACACACTATTTCTGAGGAACCTCCAAACTATTAGTTTTCTGAGGAACCTCGATATCACACATAGAGACTGTACCAATTCACATTCCCACCAACAGTGTAAGAGCGCTCCCTTTTCTCTCCAGCAAAGGTGCCACTTTTACAGACTGTGATCCGGGGCCCTGCTGTAGGTGAAGTGCCTGGTGGAAGATGGAGGCCCTATTCTGCGACCAGTGTAACTATCAGAAGAGGGGCCCAAGAGAGAACAGGAACTAGGACATGGGGAGTGAGGAAGTGGGGAGGGAGGAGACAGCACAGAGCCTGTGGGGAAGGCGACAGGAACTAAAGACAGGTAGGAGCCAGGACAGCAAGGATGAACCTTGGAAAGTGACATGAGCCAGTTCTGAAAGGATTATCTGTATGGCCCTGCTTATAAGAGGTACTCAGGGGAGCCAAGTTCATAGGGGCAGAAAGTAGAATGTGGTTTCCAAGGGCTAGGGGTGGGAGTGGGGAGTTAATTGCTTTATGGATAGAGAGCTTCGGTTTGGAAGATGAAAAGTTCTGGATGGTGGTGATGGTTGTGCAATTATGTCAAGGCACTTAATGGACTATATACTTAAAAGTGGTTTATTTTGTTTTTTGTTATATATATATATATATGTTTTTTTTATGATAAAAAATGTTCAAGGCAAGGGGCTGAAGTTAGTTTAGTTTTGTGTGGAAGACATAGTCTGGTAAGAAGCAGATTCACTGTTCCTCTGAAATTCAGGGGCAGAGGGGAAAGTGGGGGGCACGGGCAGCTGGACCACTAGGCCTCTCCAGGAAATGCCCCTCTCGATAGCGTCTGAACTTGGGAACCTGAGGTCTTTCCACCTGGCTGAGGAGACATGGAATCCTTCACTGGGAATCATCTCAAATGTACAGCAGACACTCCTGATTCCTGCTCGCCCAGGAGGCAGCCCAGGGGTCTGGCAGTGAATGGGACTTCTAGGAAGGCTGAGGGATTAAAATGGAAAGGTGTGAAGGGTGACTTGTGTATAAGCTCTGACTTTCAGATTGGGATGAAGACCCTAGCAAATCTGACCACATGGAGGTCACAAAACTGTGCAAGAGACCAGAGGAGACTGTGGTACCCAGAGGCCCCGCTGCAGCTGAACTCTGGTGAATTAGGTCAGCGAGTGCTTTGCACATCCACGGGGTCTGCCCCAAGTCTGCTCTTGTGCAAGAGGGGAGAGTTCCCAGGCAGTTTGGGAGACCCAGCCTCCCACAGGAGTCTGGGCTGGCGGTCACCCTAGCATCCTGTTTTGCTGCAGGCAAGCATCTTTTTTCTCTGTTATTTTTGTCTCTGGCCTTGGCTTGTTTTTCCCAGTGCCTCTCCTTGGCTCCTAACATTTCTCCCCTGGTTTATTAAGAACTGAGATAAATCACCTAATACATCTTGGCTAAGCTTTTTTTTTTCTCTCAAATCTCCTCAACAATTGCCAAAGTCACAAAGTTGCATCTTTCCCGCAGCGGGAGGCTAACAAAATAGCTGGTGTGCTCAGAAAAATGTATAGATCAAGAAAACAAAGGGAAAATCTTTAATTATTCAGAAGCCTCCCACTTCTGGTACTAAATTTACTCGCTGGGGTTTGATTTAAAGATGCAGAGCTGTTCCTGAGCAGCAAGCAGGCAGCACCACGCCCATCAGCAGAGGAAGCAGCCTGCCTCCCTCTGCAGCGAAGAAGATGTGCATATATTAACTGTCTTTCCCTGTTGACTGGATGGTTCCTGGGAGTGCTCCTAGCATTTAATTATTAAAGCTGTCCCTTCTCTCACATAGATGCAAACCTCTGCTCCTTTGATTTCTTAAAACCATTGAATCACACAGTTCTGGCATTTGAAAGGAATTCAAGCATCTTCTGATGTCACCTCTAATTGTCACAGAAGCACAAGATTCTAAGGATATTAAAAGTTACCTATTCTGGACTGCCCTGGTGATCCAGTGGTTAAGAATCCGCCTGTCAAGGGAGAGGACACAGGTTGGAGCCCTGCTCTGGGAAGATCCTACATGCCTCGGGGCAACTACTGAAGGCCACATGCTCTAGAGCCCGTGCTCTGCAACAAGAGAAGCCGCAGCAATGAGAAGCCGGAGTGCGGGGACTAGAGAGGAGACCCCACTCACTGTGGCCGCAGAAAGCCCGCACGCACCAACGGAGACCCCGCGCAGCCAAAATAAACACATAAATGAATGTTACCTATTCTGACACCAACTCTCCCTATGAGGTGCTAACTGGCTGAACTGATAATTAGAATACACAAATCTACTTAGCACCCCAACAGCACTTTATGGAATACACAAATCTACTTAGCACCCCAATAGCACTTTATACTATACATACTTCCGTTTATAGTTTGCTCATTCAGTGTAACTAGTTCTTTTTTAAAAGTTTAAACTTTAAACTTTATTTTTTGAAAAGTAATATGTTCACACAATTGGTCATTTGAAAGGTAAAAGAATATAAAACCCTAACCCTATAGACACCTAGTTCTCCTCCACAGAGGCAACTAACAGCAATTCTTTCAGTGTCCTTCCTGAGATATTCTATGTCTATACACTTAAGTATGTCATTTTCTTCCCTCCTTTTTACACAAATCTTTTCACTGGTCTGCATTTATACTTTATTCTGGAGATTTCTTTTGTTTCAAGCTTCATTCTTGTAGAGAGTTCTGTGGCATTTCCTTGCATGGAGGGGCCATGATCTAGGGACATTATGGTTGCCAATCTTTTGTTTTATAAATGATGCTACAATAAATAATCTCCTGCTTATGATATTTTCTACCATGACTTCCTTCAGAGAGACTCCCTGAAGTGGAATCAATGGGCCCACGGGTATGTGCATTTGCAAGTTTGATTGTTCTTGTTCGGTCACTCAGTTGTATCCAATTCTTTGCCACTCCATGAACTGTAGTCCGCCAGTCTCCTCTGTCTGTGGGATTCTCCAGGCAAAAATTCTGCAGTGGGTTGCCACTCTCTTCTCCAGGGGATCTTCCCTACCCAGGGAGCAAACCTAAGTCTCCTGCACTGTCAGGCGGATTCTTTACCATTGAGGATTCTTTACCATTCCCTTCTTTACCAGGGAAACCCCATAATTTTGATAAATCTTGCCAAATGTCCTCCCCTAATTTCAGTTCTCACCAACAATAGGTAGTGTGTGGCTTTACCAACAGTATGTCATGAAACGTTTGACTTTTGCTATAACTAATCATTTACCTGCTTCTCCCCTTGGCCCCCTTCCCTCATTAGAATGTGAGCCCACCAAGCTTCC